GGGGAGTGTGGGACATGTGATTTTCGATGTGCAGTCACCATGAAAGGTGTCAACCGGTCAAATGACCACTTGTGTTTTGGCTCAAGAAATGGTGCGTGACTGACGCACGGGGCTTTTGTTTTGTCGCTCACAGAATCAAATTGAGTGGTCAGTGACGGTACTCAAGAAATCTGATTTGCTGTGATTTACTGTCTTTGTTTGGATTCAAATATTCCAAATGCACAGCATTTCCATGGCAGTGCCAAGCATCTGTCATCTCACAGACGGACACAAGCTCGTTGAAGCTCACCACGTTCAGTGCCTCCCCAGCATATGCCGCCTGCAGTCCAGTGCGCCAGGCACGATGTCCTGCAGCGCCGTGGATGGCAGCTGCTCGCCCATCCCGCGGTTCACGCAGAGCCACGTGAGCAGCTCGGCTCAGCAAGCGAAAAGCCTCAGCGGCTCAACCTGTGATCTTCAGCGGGTTTGGCTTCAGGATGTTGTTGCAATTGAAATGTAATTACTGCCAGTGTCTCTGGAAGGTTAAAGAGGATAAAGTAAGTATGTCATGTAAAGCCCTCCATGACGTTCTCACGAGTTGTCTTTTGGAACTTGTTCAGCACTCCAGGTCCAGCATCATCCCACATTCACTGTTGCATACCACGGCACGTACAACCATTTCGAGCTGTTTGAAAGTGATCCCGCAGCTCCGTTGTATCTAAGCAGGGACACTATCAAAGGAACTGTATGAAAAGGCCCCATCTGATTGCAATTCCCATCATCTTACTACTCACAAAGTGCAACAATGTGTGCGAAGCTGCTCCCTGTTCTTGCTCTTGCTTTTGACAAATTTTGTCAAATGTTAGTGACTAATGTGACCCACACTGACGGAACAAAGTCTTGAGCATCTGGGGTTGTGCTCGAGCACAAACGCTTACAAACAATCATAATGAATAAATTAAAGATTTAAAATGAACACACACAAATGATCTCTGGGCGCCAAGAGTTGGTCGAGACTTCCTTGTGATTCTCTCCATTCCAAGCGGCGAGACCTCGTTGAGTTGGAGTCGGAAATTGCCCGAACGTCGTAGAAGACCCAGGACCATATGCCATGCCGAAGGGCCAGAGGTGCTGAGGGCGGCACTGTAGCTGACAACGTTCCTGAGACATTCTGACAAACGACATGCCCCAACCTACAGGGGTGTGTGCTTGCTGAAGCCAGTTGTCTTTGGACATCTGTGCAAGTGCCAAATTCATCCCTAGTGACAGGTGCAACTGCCGGCCATTGGCATCTTGCAGCAAGAAAAGGCCATGCTGCCAGGAGGATGACTTCTGACAGGCGTTGATGCCCGAGCTGTAGCTGATCACCTTGCCAGCTTGGAGAGATAGAAAAAAAGTGATTGTTGTCTCATTTATTCATTGTCTTGTTTCCTTTCTTTTAAACCCGCAAAGCGGGGGTAGGCCGTTAGAGTAGCTTCTGGTAGCTATTAAGTAGGTCACGGTCACTATTACCTGGGACGCAGGAGAGTTCAGGCTTCTTCAAGGAAGCTCCCCCCGCTGCCCTAAAGGCCTGGGGAACTCAATATAAGAAGCCTTCGCACTATTCAGCTGGTTCCTACATGTTGGGGGAACTTAGCCTTGTATGATTGTAGTAATACACATTGTTCATTCATGACCTTCCAACGTCTTGCACTTCCACATTCCTCAAACATTCTGTAAGAATGCTGAGCCATGCACATATTCTAAGAATGTGTGTTGTTTGCTTGTGTCTCCTCATTGTCTGTCTTCTGAACCTTGTGGTTTTCATCTGGTCTATGACTATCTAGTCTTTAAGAATCATTCCAGACTTTTGGCAATCTAATTGAAAGATTCCACTTACCCAAATAACCATTGGAACTTTTGTGAGGCCCTGAGCATGAAAAACACAATACACAAAGTGCGATTGTTTGTCGAAATCTATATAAGGCACTCTGAGGCCCCTTCTTCCCCCAACTTCTCTTCTTGTTCTTTTCAACATGTAAATCAGAATCACATGTTACGAGTAGATGAAAAAAGATGTTGTTGCTCTTCAGCTGGCCGAGTTTGACTCTAAATTGCCAAGTTGCGTCCAGCTTCACGGGGCGCTCCCGATATATCAGCCACAAGGCTAATTCCCATTGTCCAGCTCTCGCCAAAGTGCTCAGGAATGAATTCAATGCTATCACGTTTATGAGACGCTTCTGGCGAACAGTTTGCCTTGGATTTGAGATACTAGGAGCAAGGACGCTACTAGGTTCTCCTGGCCTTACTACTAGGAACAAGCTACTAGGGGCTCCTGGCATTGCTACTAGGAGCACTACTAGGAGCAAGAATGCGTTGTTACTGTAAGTGACTCAACAGGCTAAGAAGCGCAACTACAAATGGAGTGGACCCAGGTCAAGGTACCATAAGTCCACATGCCGTTTGATTGGATTCTTGTGTCAGAAGCATAATTATGCAGCTGCGTGGCAAAAGCAGCCAAGCCGATTGCCACTCACATGCTGTTTCACAAGCGCAAACGGCAGAGCTGTATGAGATGACATCCTTGGTTTTATGCACAAACAATCAAGCAACTCCAGCTCAAAAATGCTCAAACCATTCAACCGGGACAAAATTGACACCCACACTTTAATGCTGTTCGGTCAGATTTCCAGCTGTTGACTGTCTGTTTCAGCAACTGCCATGAGGTGCAAAGCGTAGGGCCATGCATCCTCACGACCTCAGTCAGTGCCAACACCGATTCTCTGACCAAATGTATCCTGTCTCTATAGTGCAAAATGGATCGAGTGAATCTGAGAGGTTGGTTAGGTGGTAGAGTCACTTTCATCAAAATCTAATGAATCTAATGATATATAAATAGCAAACACCGCTAAGGACCTTGGAACAAACGCCTTTAGTTGGGTATGATTCATCCACAGTACAAGTAGGGAAACTACACAGGTACGATCGCACAAGCAAATGCAACCTGTGAAAGTGACGAGGAACAAGCACTGATCGCACTGTTGTAGCTGATCAAGTCAGCCTCCACAGTAATGTTCTTCATCTGCCTCTGCCCGCGAAGGTCTGGCATTGGGAAGGGACACAAGTCATGAGTCAGAACAATTGAATTACCATTTCTCAACTGCAATTAGAAAAATGGTATCTCAAAATCTTGTCAGCAAGTGCTCGGGTGCTGTAGCACGTGTATGGCCAACTGCCATTTACCAGCTTTCTCACAAGCACTGATACTGGCCTTAGAATCAAGTCCTGAATGAGTTCCTATAGGCCGTAATTTGACATTGACACGCGCAATATCATGTCAAGGCTTTGATCTTCTTTCTCGCCAAAATAATGCATACAAATACAGCGAAAAGTAGGTAGGACTGATCGTGCCCCCAAAAGGAAGCCTACACAAGGCTGTGAGGACAAAACGCAAAATACTTCCAAATATAGTTTATGCGACATTGTACGTGATGACATCTGCCAAGAAATCTGCAGCTTCAAGCAGCACCAGCGCATTTTGCCATTTGCCAGCCTTTTCACATGCACTGATAGTTGCATTAAAGCTGATCCTCACAGCACTTTTCAGGATCACCTATTGTTGTCATTTCTGAATGAACAGTTTATAATCAGTTTGTAAAGATCGCTTTCCCCTGCTTGTAACAGCACCATACAGCATCCACAAAACGAAACGGCCACTGATAAACAGCAGCAGGACAATTGTGAAGTGTCTGATACAAAACACGTCATGAGTTTGGGGGCCTGCAAATTCAACTACTACAGATTGCACATGTTCTCCTTTGGGGTCAGGTGACCGTTTAAATTGTATGTGCTAGGTGTGTTTGTTTCAGTTTGTATAAAGTGAAAGGAGACTATTGACAGTCGACAACAACCACAAAACAAGAACAGCACGACCAGGAAGAGAACAAGACAAACAACAGCAACAATAAAAACGTTGTGAGGGCCTGTGAGCGTACTAATGTTCATGTTTGTTGTCGCTTGGCATGGACGTGTGACAGCAATACCATCAAACAATGCAGCAAACACGATTGGTAAGTTAAGATTGCACAGTTAATTATTTGGATTTCTCAAAGAATCCATGGATCTCACTACTAGGGGCTGTGACTGAAGAAGGTTCCTCAGCGTGAGGCATGAGGCAAACCCTACTGACCTCATGTTCAAAAGAATCTTAGACATTGACATTAATGAAATCTATCGGAACCGCCAAGAAGATCTAGATTTGAACAACAGATTTGAACTTGGATGTGCGCAGGGCAAACACTCAATAAGATTTAGAAGCTTTAGCAATACACCCCTACCTACATACCTACATACCTACATACCATACCTTACCTTACCTTACCATGGCATTCCATTACATACCATACCATACCATACCATTACATTACATACAATACATACCATACATACCATACCATACCATACCATACCATACCATACCATACCATACCATACATACATACCAATGCATACATACCAATACACACCATTACATTGCATTGCATTGCATTGCATACCCATACCATACCATACCATACCATACATACTTACATACATGACATACCAATACATATTACCATTACCATACCTTTTGGCCTAACACCCCGTGCTTTTTGCCTGACCATTTCCAGGGCCAGCCATATTTTCGTGCTCAGAACCACAAGTTCAATTAAGCATTACGGTCCAGGGCTTGAGTCAATCAGTATTCTCTACAGTACAACCCTTTGCAACAAATGCCACCTGCCACAACCTAGATCTTTCAACATATTGTACCTCGAGGCACGCACTTCCTCCTCCAGTAGTCATCCAAGCCTATCAACGATTTTGTATCCAACAGTATCGTGAAAACAGTGTGTCTACAAAGTGATACTATCAAGTAAAGTACACCGAAAACTACGTATGCTTAGGCATAGACTTAGATCATACTTGTGTACAACATCAAGCCTCTATGTCTACAAACTCTGTGGCAAATGCGTATGTGGGATGCGGCTACACCAGACAGGCACGGGCTTTCATTCAGGCAAAACCCAAAGCTTAAAAACTTCAGCAAAGTTGCACGTCTTTCTTCAGGCTGTACTTTTGGCTTTGCTTGAATAGCTGAAGAGCCAACATCCAGCGAGAGGTTTTCTCGCCTTAAAATGCAAATGACATAGGACATAGGACCAATGCATTGTATGGAATGAACACCATGACCAAACATATAATGCTCGCAATGTGCTAAATCCCATCAGCAGAAGCATTTCAAGTGAACACCATATCCGGCAAGTAGCAAGCAGTAAGCACTGAATTAAAAGTGACCTCATTCGTCATATGGGCAGAACATGTTGCTGATGTAAGAAATATCATGAGATCTTTCCACTTGCTGGCCTTTTCCAATGAACCTTAGATAGAGGAGGTTGGATCAAGTTGAAGCAAACAATCCATAGTTCCTCTGTTCTCAAACACGGAACACCGACAGCTGAAAACAATGAATTTTCGGACTAGTAGAAACAAGCTGACATGAAGAACTGCAGTCAAGCAAAAAGCATAGCTTCCAGGATCCGAACTGAATGCATGATTCAAGTATTGATTCAAACAACCACTGACAATGGACTAGACTCAAGTGATTTCTGCTTATCGACAGCCGCACCCCAAACTCGCACGGTTACCAAGTGCAAGTAGAATTCCTCTAGCGGATCTTGTTAACTTTTTGTGGATGTTCACTGTGACATGGTATGCACTAGCACATCATGTTGCTCAAAGTTGTCCAAACCAAGAAACTGGCACTGGCATTATAGGTGACCTGACTCCCTTGCAAATGCACAAGGAGGGCTTCACCGAGCATCTCTAATGCACGTGTCCATTCAAATAGCCTCTCCAGGGTATGCAACAGGTCTATATCATTAGGAAGCAAATCCATATATATATATATCGGAGTTGATCTAAATTCCTTTATCCGGGATCCGTCATTTTCGCCCAAAAAATACATTAGCCAAACTTTCGCCTGCCTGTGTTTTATCTTTCGCCGAAGTATGTTGTATTTATGTGTGCCATGTATGGTGTGTTTTGTTCACGTCATTGGTTTCTTCTTTACTGGCAAATACAAAATGGAAACTTCACTGTTTGTCAGCATGTGTCTTCTACTTAACTGTTGACACCCTGTACGTCTCTTTTGTTTCTCCTGGGTGTCAGCAAGAATCAAAATTGCAAGAATCACTGTAGTAGCCGGTCACTCAAACTTACTCATAATGGGCTGGGGGTCAGATGTGGCAGGGTGAACTTTCGCCAATCTTGAGCTGAACTTTCGCCTTTTGCGGGGTAGAGTTTTGTGGCAAAGCCACCCCCCCAAAGCAGGAACAGTAGTAGTAGTAGTAGTAGTACTAGTACTAGTAGTAGTACTAGTAGTAGTAGTAGTAGTAGTAGTAGTAGCCGCAGCAGCAGCAGGTTATCTAACTTCCACAGCTCATCTAACTTCTGAGTCACTGCCACCAGCTGTTCAGGAAGCAAATGAACATTCATACAAAAGTACATATTTAATCTTTCGCCAGATCTTTCGCCAAAAACACAATTACTTTCGCCAACTCGAGAATAAAACTTTCGCCAAATGAGATTTTGATATGTTCCGGGTCATCGTCATACACAATGCTGTCTAGGACCTTTAGATCGACAACCATATATATATATATTTACAGGATATGCATGAGAAGCAACAGACATTTCAATGCTTTCAAACACAAAAGGCTCTCAATTGTCTGGGCCCAACCTTCCACAGAGGCTGATGCTTCCATTGAACGATATGATATCCTGAACTGCCACACTGCTCCCGTACAGGATAGACCGGATACACAACACTGATCAGTATATAGTTAGCATGAATGTCGTAAACTCATAAAGGAAGATGCACTGTAGACTTGGCAACAACACAAGGGATGGTTCGATTAAACAAGAATGTTTGAAGCAAAAGAGAATTGCAGAATGAGAAAGCTGTGCCAGTTGAAGCCAGGAGTCAACTTGGACAAACTTGGGTCCAGTGTCGTGCAAAAGTTGCAAGGCTTTTTGCCAAGAATCCATGGCGTTGATCGTGCTGTTAAAGGAGATCCTGTTGGCCAAGCTCTGCCTCTGGCAGCCTTGAAAAATATTCACAGCTTCTCTCCATGTGAACTGCCTTCCAGCTGCGCTGATCGCAGTGTTGCCACTTACTTCACTTGCTTGAATTCCAACATCGCCAATTTGTCGAAGCAGCTTTAGAGCCTGAACAACCGGCTCTCCAGCAAGGTGTTTTGGAGGAGTTCGCAGGTCATTGTCATATAGCCTTTCATGTAGCCTTTCTTCCTAGATTCAACCTCCACAAAATTGCAACGAAATTGACTCGGCAGCGAAGAACCGATAGGTCGAACAGTTTTCCAGTGATCCTAGTGGACCTTTCTCTCCTACCCACTGCAACAGGTACAATATGAATTTTCGGACCAAGATGCAGCCTGCCATTCTTGCGCCTTTTCACATGCACTGATCGTCAAGTTGTAGCTAATAATCTTTGGCTCAACACGGATTGATTGGGCATCACCTGGGCCAGCTGCTGGCATTGTCACGACAAATGATCTGAGGGCAAAGCTTATTGATTTCGGCAAATACTCACATCCTAAGTGTTCCCTTAAATAAAATCTAGGGACTCTTTATCTTTGGCGAAGGATCTTGCTTAAATACTTAATGAAGTTTAGTAAGCTTACGTCCTCCTTAGCTCACTTACGGCATCGTTGGGGAGTGATGAGGAGTGGGAAAAAGCTTTCGGATGCTGACGTAGTCGAGAACCTCCTAAGAACACAGAAATGCAATGCGAATTGGACAAACTCAAGCGCGTCAAGTCCAGCAACCAAAAGAAGAACGACCACACAAAAGTCGAAAGGCCCCCAACCTATGAGGAAAGACAATATGTCTCCAACCCAAACACGTGAAGTCTGCATGAAAGAATGAAGCTCCAAGACAGTTCAGTTCAACAAATTAAGATGCCAATTACATAATCCAATCAGGTCTGGTTTCACCACCAGGGCAAAAGCCTTACAAGTGTGTCCCTACCCCCTGCTGAACGCAACTGTTTTGAATAAGTAAACACAACTCAGAGCCATGTGTGGTGAAGCGATTATCATGTGGAAGCAACAGACACA